CTTTCTAGGCCTCCTTAGTCTATTATTTAATCTCTTTAAGTTATTATATCTTTTTAAGTATTTTCTAGCTCTTTATAAATAACTTTAAGATAAAAATCTTTATATAGAGTTTTATTCTAGTATAAAATAAAGAAAATTATTCAAATATTCTTAGAATCCAGATATATATTATAATAAGAAAGGTTAAAAACAGTTTAAATAGAATCTGGTAAAACCGTAAGTTCCTGGACTCTTTTATTATTAGAACTAGTATAGAATACTAGTTTATTTATATTATTAATAAATTAATAATAGTAGATAGGTCTACTAATATAGAAAGAGAAATAAAGAAATAATTATTAAGAAACTATATTAGAAAAGATAGAAAAAACTTAATTATTTATTTCAAATTAAAAGCTATTTATTAAAAAATCTAATAAAAGAAATAGAAAAAAACTTACTATTAACTTCTTTAGAAAGTTAGATAGTTCTTTATTTAGCTTTCTAATTCTTTATATTATTAAATATCTACTTATAAAGAACTAGCTATAAAACTATAGTCTATAATTCTATAAGACTAGATCCGGCTATATTTTGATTTATAAAATCTTAAAGGGCTTTAGATAGCTTATTACCGGTATAAAAAGCTATAGTCTAAATAGTAGCCTGAGTAACTCTTATATTTATAGCCTATTAAGCTTATATAGTAATATAAATATTACTAGAAAAGTAATTAGGTCAAGTAATATAGCTTATAATAAAAGGAAATATAGAAAGAAATAGTTATAGGGCTATTAGAATAAGAAAAGCCTGGAATAAAATAGAAATAGTATCTAGTAGCTATATAATAATAGTAATTAGAGAAACAGGTATAGTAGATATTTCTAGAAGAAAAAATATAGAATAAGAATATTAAAAAGAGCTAAAAATCTAAAATATTTCAGATATAAAAAAGAAAATAGATATAGACGGAATTCCAGAGTTATAAAATTTAAGTCTACTAATATTATTACTTTAGGTAAATAAAGTAGTAGCTTCTATATTATATTCGGGATTAGTAAATTAATAGAACTTATAATATTAGATATTACTATACTAGTATTTAATTATAAAATATATATTATTAGAATAGGTTTTAAGAAATAATAATACTATTTTAAAAAATAAGAATTTAAAAATATAAAATATTTATATAATAGAAGAACTTAATAATTCTATTAGTACTGTTTTTAAAAATAAGAAGAGGATTTTAAAAATAATATATTTAATAATAAATAATATTTATCTTAATATATCTAGTTATTCTATAATTGGCTTATTTAACTACCTTATATTATTAGAAATATTACTAATAAAGGGCCATTTCTAAATAAAGTTCTAAACTATTAGAAACTATATAGGTATTTTTCCGGCTTATATATTATTTATATATTTTATATTTACTAGAATAACTTATTTAAGAATTCTATTCTATATAATAATAGTATTATATTTACTAGTTAGCTTCTCGAATTCTTCTAATATCGGCAGCTATCCTAAGGCTATATATATCCGAACTATATATTAGAACTAGTAATAAGCTTAAATATATAATTAATTACTATTTCTATTAGTATTTTCTATATAAATATTAGCTATATTTATACTATAAAATATAAGCTTCTAATAATACTATTCTAGTATTTCTTTTAGTAGAAACTTATTAATATCTATATTAATATATAAATAAACTATTTATATAGAACTATATAAAGTTAGATTACTTATTTTAAACTAAATAATTATTAAGGATTATATTATAAAGCTTTATATTTATAGAACAACCCTAGTATTATATTCTATCTAGAGGCCTTATATAAAGTCTAAATAGCTTACCGGCTACTATATTAGGCCTAGATTTATCTTTTCTAATTCTATAGATATTTTATAAATCTATAAACCTATATATCTTATTTTAGATCTATTATATATAAAGTACTAGTAAAGTAATCCGGTTTTATAAATATTAGTAATTATAATTTCCGGTATAGGCCAGTTTCTAAAAATAATTCTATATATACTAATCAGAATTAGTTATATAATCCGGTATTATAATACTAGACCTAATAGCCTTAATAAAAAGCAATATAATTATTAGTACCTAATACTTTTTTCTAATAATAAAAAAAATAAAAGATAGATATAAGGAAACGGAATTACTTATATATTACTAGTATAGCTAGCTTTTCTAAAGCTCTTACTACCAGAATTCAATCTACTAATTCTTAGTATTTTTTCTAGAAATAAAATAGTTCTCTATATATATAACTAATAGATTAGCTATTTATAAGAATATAAAATATATTTTAGTAATAAGAAGAAATTTAGAGCCTTAATTATCCCTAAAAAAGTAAGGGCAATAGCCTATTTAAATACAAATCTAAAGATACTACTATATAACTAAATAGATAATCCGATTAAAGATTCTAATATATATTTAGATAATATTATATAAATAAATATTAATATAAGTATATATCTTAATTCCAAATAGTAATAGCTTACTATATCTATTAATTAATTAAATTTAGTCTAGTTCAGATATAATATATTTTTTCTTCTTAAACTATATCTGTTATATTTATAATATAATTACCTCGAGATTAAGAAGTTATAATATTATATATAAGCTCTTTCTATAAATAATAAAATATATTAGTAAATAAGGCTTTAACTTTCTAAGCTAAAATAAAACTATAAAATATAAAAAGGCTAACTAGATTACTAGTAAATCTTATTAACGGAAATATATATATAAATACTACTTTTTATAATCTATAACCCGCTTATTATTTAATTTATTCTATAGTATTATAAATAGTTATTTATTTACTACTTGCTTATTTATTATAATTATATAGTAAATAAGACTAAGCTTCTTATATATATAAATAACTCTAGTAATTAAAACTATATAGCTATAATTCTTAAGATCCTTAAGTATTTTCTTATTTATATTTTCTAAATAATATAGAATTATTATAATAACTAGTATTATATAGTTAATATAGATATGGTTTAGCTAAAGGGTTAGTTTTAGCTAAGATTTCAAGCTATAGTTTAAACCAAGCTCGCTTTTAAAGCTCGGCATTTTAGTAGTCTTGGCCATATCTACTTATCTACTGCCACACCTCACTCCTTCTCTCCTTAGCTTTAGATTCTATAGGATATTGGAATTATAGATCTTTATATATTATTCTATTACTTTATTCCTGCTATTATATAATCTAAAGCTTCTATCTTTCGGACGGTAGTTATTATTTATTAGAGCTATATACTCACTTATTGGGACTTCTGTCTACTAGCCCGCTTTTATACGGAGCCCCCTTATTATTATTATTATTATTACATGGCGCTGCCTATAGTCTTTTACCCGCAAGGCATTAAAAAGCTCGATTTTGGCCAGCTCAATCCACCTTATTATTTATTAAAGCCCCTAGCTCACTCCTTATTGGATTTTTTTTACCTCTTTACCAACTTTACCGATATTCCCTTGAGAATAGACACCTTCCAAACGCAAGTCCAATACGAGTTCGATAGCCTACACTCTGAAATCGCCACTCTGCGAGTAGCTCTTGCGAAAACCCAAGCTTCCCGGCCCTGTCCAAAGCTCCCTGACCCTGAGAAGTTCGCTAGAAGCACATACAGATTCGATACCTGGCTCCCTTCAATTAAAGCCAAGCTCTCTATCAATAGTTCTGCCACAGCTTTCGCAATAGCCTCAACTCCGCAATTCGCTCTCGTTTGGCCCAACAGCTTATCCTACCCCGGGTTTACGCTAATTTCCTATATACGGTTCAGCAACTCTCATCAAAAACAGCTGCTCCACTATACATTACTACTCCCAGAATTACCAGCGACCCTATAGACATCAGCGAACTAACAATTAACGTCATTACACCGGCAATTAGTACTCTAAAGTCCTCTGAGCCAATCTTACCGGCTATACCAGCTCGTTCCACCTCAAAGGAGCTCCGCCAGCTATATCGTCAAACCGGCAGATATATCAGATATGGCTCCCAGGGTTACTTTATCAAGAACTATAGCTTGGCTCCTGCAAGCACTGCTTCTACTGGTTCTTGCAAATGGGTTACAACTGCCGCAATTAACCATTACTCTAATTCTGGTAGCGATTCTGGCGATTCTGGAAAAGGGCCAACCTTGGATCCGGCTTTTAACCGGGTATAGAGGACTGATTTTGCGGCTGGCGATTGGAAATAGGGTCCTTTTCCTTTGTTCTGTCATTTTTATTACACTCGCTTTAGCTTTCCCTTTGTTTTTACTATACTGGCGCTCGGGTCGAGCTTTTTGGAAGGGGGGGGTGATATGACGGCTAGTATTACATAGTTAATACGGACGTGGTTTCAGCCAAGGGGTTGGTTTCAGCTAAGGTTCCAAGCTATAGTTCAAACCAAGCTCGCTTCCAAAGCTCGGCGTTTTAGTAGTCTTGGCCATACCTACTTATCCACTGCCACACCTCACTCCTTCTCTCCTTAGCTTTAGATTCTGTAGAATATTGGAATTATAGATCTTTGCATATTATTCCATTGCTTTGTTCCTGCCGTTATAATTATAATCTATATAAAAAAAAAAGATATATCTGCTATTTAAGTATATATTTAGATATTTTATTCTTATAGTTAGTATTTAATTATATAGGTATTAATATCGATTTTCTATAAATCTTTTAATCTTATTATAATTATTTTATAGGAAATGTTTATATAAGCCTATTTAATAATAGTATTATAATATAATAAAAGATTTATAGAATATTATAGTATTTTAATATAATTAAATAAGGTATTAATAGTATTAATATATTATAAGTTTAGGCCATATATTACTATTACGAAGCGCTTTTAGTAATATAAGTACTAAATTACTAGAGTAATAGGAAGGCATACCCTAAAAATAGAGGGGCAGGTACGTACGGTTGTCAGAAATCAGAAAATCAGAAATCGAAAATCAGAAAATCAAATCTCGCTTCTCGGTTTTGTCGACTAGCTAGCTGTGGGCCTCAGTAATCTGCGGCTCTGTTACATCCCGTCATCAAACCTCGTTTGTTGATCTGCCTATATATGGCCGCCAACGTCGAAATGGGAATTATGATATATTCAATGCAGAAAGAAAAACTGAAGTGTCCCTAAAATGATGGAATCGACGGAGATGCTCCACCCCGTAAGACTAATCAATGCTTAAGCAGCATCTGCGCTGCTACCTGGCGCTGCAGATGGCGTTTTCTTCGTGACCTCAACAATCTAGCAAACAATTTCTCGTCCCTTATGCCACCTCATTCTCAGCGTTAGCATCCTCCCTCTTCTCCCTCTTCCTAAACAACACAACATCCAAACACCTCTGCAATAAATAGACCAAAATCCACCACTCACTTGGCTTCGACCGTTCGGCACTCTCCCTAGGTCTATACTCATGAAACAGCACTCCTTTCTTTTTCCATGACTTGCGGGAATCGGCTTGCATTGAGGACAAAATACACTTTTTGAAGGATGAGTATGAAGATTTAGAGAAGGAGACGAGGAGGTTCAGGTTGAAGACGATCAGGTAGGTGAGGAGGCCTACAGCAACCATTGTGTAGGCGAGATTGTGGTAGCCGAAGGTATCGGTTGTGCTCCAGATGGACTGGCGAGCATGTCAGTGGAGGGGAAAGTGGGAAGAGGAGAAGGGGGAAAGAGGAGCGAGGAAGGGAGCGGGCCAGTGGGGGCTCATACTGTGCAAAATGCCAAGGGTAAGTAGAAGATGCTGACATAGGTCAGGAGCTTTACATTCTCTCCCAGTCGTGTCGAGGCTCGAGATTCCATGACTGCGCTTGCGGAAAATAACTGAAAGGTGTTAGAGGTCTTTGGTGCCACGAATGGAAGAGAATGGAAGGGGGTAGTGGAAAGAAGACTTACTCCATCCCGAAGTGCAATAGCTTTTGTTCGTTGCTCGTTAAACTCTTTTTTGATGTTTTCAAGATCAACTTGTCTCTCATTACACTCTTGAATAGCACCATCAAGTTCTTTGCTCATTTCTGCATCGCCTTCTTTCAGCAGCGTTTGGCCAAACGGAAATAGGACATTGTCTCGGTATCCAACCCAAACCTGTGTATTGCGGGTAATTACCTTTTCCGATTCGTTAAGGCAATTGATAACCCAGAAATACCTCTTTGATCGGGTGTAGAGATCATCTTCAAAAATCAAGTTATCATGAGCTTCCAGATCAAATATCTCGCTACCCGTGCCAAGAAGCCCATCAATGTATTGAACTAAGGTGTACCATCCAACCCATGCCGATCTTAGAGCAAGGATACAAAGCCTCGCCATTAATACTAGGAGAGGAAAGTTTTTGGAGGCTATGGCTTTAAACTCCCACTCATCAATCTGGGATTTGAATCCATCAGGTGGGAGCAGAACCAAGATTGTCCAGAATTTGCTACGATCGTAAGAAATCGCTTGGAACTATCCATGTACTATAAGTGAGCTAGAGTTCAAAATCAAGCGCACAAGAAATGTATACCGTGTTTGCAACCTCGCAAAGTGAAAGCGACACTTTCTTATGAAGGCTCCCCATCTTCCACGAGCTGGAAAACTGTTGTCTAGTGCTCACTTCGTACCAAGTGAAATGAAAAAAATGTGTGTTTATGGTGCGGGGATTATCGAGGTGTTTTGTAGACCCATATTCAGATTTTTCGGGACGGAGGTGCTCCTGGACATCTAACCTGTCGAAATAGCTAGATTCGAAGAAAGGGTTGTTGTCTGTTGACTTTGTCATTATTGTACTGAGCCCTGCAAGAACGCTATTGTTGTGTTAGGAATTTCATCATATCTTCCTTGATCATAATATTACTTACATAAGTCTATTATAAGGTGCTAAAACACCGATTTGGGAGTCGAATCTGATGGGAGGGGCACAAATGTTTCCAGAGGTTTCATCTTCTAGGGTCGTTCCTACGCATCCAAAAATGGGATTTCCAATCCTGTAGGTAATGAAATGGCCGTCAGGGTCAAAATCTCTGACACTGAGATAGCCTTGATGCCTATCAAGCTCACGAACAGCTTCAATAGCCACTTCCAGATTGTAAGAGCCACCCGATGACCAAAAGTTTTTGAAGTTGAGGCGGCCATCCGCCGGTACGCCTGCGGTGCCTGATTTCTTTAATAGGCGAAATAGTCGCTCGTCGGTGAGATTTAGTGCATTTGCCCTACGTTCTATGCTCTCCATGCCTTCGGAAGGCGCCTCATCGTCGAGCAGGTATCCGTAAGGAACCTCAACACAACGACAGGAGCTTCCTAGCACACGCGTGCAAGTCGGGCAACAAGAGCGGTCATCCTCATCCTCAGCTCGACTTCCTTGGGACGAATACCTTACGGTGTTTGGCTGATCGCTCGTGATTTTGATGCCATTATCTGTAGAGCAGCCAGCTTGAGACTCTCTTTCTGCAGGGTTCTGTTCTTTCTTAGCCTCGTTCTTCTTCTCCAGTTTCTCTACACGTCTGGCAAGCTCTTGCACGAGTTGGTGCACCAACTGATCTGTCGGAATAGCCGCTAGTGGATTCTCTATCGACATCGTGACCGAATCGCTCAATTTTGGAAATCTGCTGTGAGCGTTGATAAGGAGCTGAAGTCGGAGAGGTGCAGCCAGCCACTATCGTGGGAGCTGTGAGCTGATAGGCTCGGTTATTCCACGAATGCTTCTCTTCTCTTATATATTACAGTCGCACAGCGGCCGGCTAAGCTCGGCGGCCTCGAATACCTCGCCGGGGGTTTGAGGGGTGGCCGGGCCGTAGTCCCTACGACTTTGGAGGCGCGAGCTGGTGCTTAGGCTTAACGGGTGGTCCGAGGAACCTCTTTCCCGGAATACGAGATCAGGGGACATGGAAAAATCGAGGCTGTGCAGCGATGATAATACGTATAATATCAGTTGATCTAAAGACGTATACAGTCGGTCCGATCCAAAAGCGACAAAACGGTCGCTCTTTTACGCCCATAATAACTTTTTAACCACAACCCCAATTAATTAATACTAAGTGATGCGATTATAGAGTAGAACCAGGCGAAAAGTACCTATTAATCAGATTTTTAATATAATTTGTGGTTCATTAATAATCGAGGTTCAAAGTGCACGGACCCTTTTTACTTTTTTGATTTTTCCTCATACAAAACGCCAATATATTTGCTCGCTAAGGTCACGTGATCCCTGACTTCAGGGGGAGATCGCGGCATCTCACCAGCCTTATTATTAATATAATAATAATAATTAAGCCCTATAAGCTTAAGTAAACCTTCCTAAATACTAAATATAGCTTTTTCTGGTATTATATATATTATATATATGGTAGGGCCCTAATTATATGGGTTTCAAGCTAACTTTTGGCCGAACTAAATCCATAAACCTTACTTATTACTTAGCTACCTTCTTTCCCTTACTTTTGCATATTATCCCATTCGTCCATTACCTTTTTAGATATCGTTCCAAGCTCTTGATTAATCAACTAAGTACGGCAAGCTAAAGGGGTATCCTCGTTGTCCAGATAGGAGGCACTAGCTCTTTTACCACCCCTAGTTTCCTGTAGAATGCCATGCTACTGTCGATAGTAATTAAATAGCCCCTTAATTTGCCGAGCTAGTGTCTTTCCATTATTAAAGCAATAATTACTGGAAGCTACTAAGAGTGATGCATTAACCCTTCTAAGTCGATATTGCCCTAGCTTTAGAAGCTGTTAGCTATATTGCCGGAGTAAGTATAAGTCAGCGATTATACGTGAAGTATATAGCTCTTTGGTTTGAGCTAGCTTAATATCCATATCGTCAAGGACTTCTTGGTAAGTCATTCGTACGTCTAGAGCTTCGTTATCTCCGCAAGCGTTTCCAATAAGGGCATCCAAAAGTAGCTCGTTGGTTTTATCGTCTTTATCTTCAAGCCTTTGCTCTTCCCTTAATTGCATATCCCTAGGGATATTAATTGGCCTCCTGACAATACCGAATTATAGCTTCTTTTATTTAAGAGGTGGTACAATTATAGGGGTCTTAAGCCTACTAGATTACTCTGTAACTTGAGTATCTTTTGCCCTCTGATCATATATATGTCTTTATTGAGTTCTCAATGGCTTTGCTAATTCCTTTATCATTTTGGAGATATAGGAGCCTCTGGAAGCTAGAAATAATATTAGTATACTTATATTATAATATAAAATAAGAAACTTACTAGTCTGTTCTGTAAGTCTTTGCTCTCGCTGTGCGAATATAGGCTTCTCCAAAATAATCGTCTTATTACCACTAATAATAAGCTTTTGCTGAGCCCAAAAGAGAGTCGAATCTTCAAGCTCTACTTCGTTGCTTTGTTCAATATCTGATTCATCAGAATCATCCTCTATATTAGAGGGTTTCCCATACCGTTCGTTAATAGATGCTTGGATTGCAGCTTCTTTAGCTATGGTGAGAACTGTAATTGAATCAAGAGTCGAATCAGCTCGCTTGCGTTTCTGAAGCCTCACAGAGGTAGCCATTGGAAGTATGCAAAAGCGGCACTTGATTGGGTTTGTGGTTGTTGAGGTATTAATATAATTATGGAAGAGCGGTCAACTTAGGGGGGCAGTCACGTGACAACCAAAGTAAAAAAACGACCATACAAAACGCCAATATATTTGCTCGCTTAATCACGTGCATTATAACTTCCTTAATAATAAAGATATTATAATTTTGAGAACATGGAATTAATTCCTATAGTATATAGTATAGTTTTAATTAATACGATTTATATCAATTAGTATTGTGGTGGTTTTTTTTTTTTTTTGTCGCTTTTGGATCGGACCGACTGTAGTATATGTGGTGTTAGTGCAGAGGTAGAAGTCGAGGTAGTATTACCGGATCGAGCGATAGCGGATCGTAATTCACTGCCCACCCGATTAAAGTTTCGTCTTTAATACTATTTTATATTCGGGTTATTTTTTTAATTAATCACGTGATGGACAACTAGCTATAAGAAATATCGATTAATAATTATATATATTATTAATATATTCTTTTATTAATTTATTATAATATTTATTAATAATTAATTACGGGTTAAATATTTATACTTTTAAATTTATAATACATCAATTGTTTCTGGTAAAGACGTTCCACCTCATATCTCCTTCCGATATCAATGTCTTTTTCGTGCAAGCTCAAATGAAACCACATTGCCAACACCCAACATGACAGTCTCCAACTACGGACCATCAATCCGTAATGTCCATCGACAAACCATCACTTCCCATAAACACCTCTGAAAACCTCATGCCCTTCCTACAACTTCACAGCCAGCCTCACGTTTGCTTCCGGGGCCGGCCTCGCCGTCTCTTCTGCTGCTGGCCACCCGATACGTCGGCTTTACCAATACCCGCTCGGATCGCACAGTACTGCGCCTGGATCGCCCCTGGGGTCCGGTGGGGGAGGACGTCATGGATCTCTTCCCAGGTGCAGCCGTCCTCGTCCCTCATCTTGAGCACCGTCGCATCCTCTTTAGGCGTCCACGGAACACGCTTTATCCGAGGACGAACCGCGGCGGGATACATCTTGGAAGGTGCGCTGGTGTCGTGAGGGGTTGCAGCCTCTGCAGACGTCTCCTTGTCAGAACGCATGCCCGACGCTTCGGAATAGAGGTGCTCTGGGACATGCGGCAGCTGGAACTCGAGATTGTATATCGTTTTGTTCCCAATCTTGGTGCGTTTTAGGAAGCCTCGAAAGGGCCATTCCCGGTACTCCGCGAATAGTGCCGACTCTATCGTAACGGAGGGACTCCGAGAGGGTGGCTTTTGAAATCAAGAGCCTTTTAAAATCAAGAGCCTTTTAAAATCAAGAGCCTTTTAAAATCAAGAGCCTTTTAAAATCAAGAGCCTTTTAAAATCAAATAGCTATTGAAATCAAGAGCCTTTTAAAATTAAGTGGCTTTTGAAACGGGAGGAACCCCGCACTAACGACTCACTGAGCTCTCAAGCAATGCAACCAAGGCTGCACTCCTCCAGCAACGACGTTCTCACACGACTCCGCTGCCGAAGAGGGTGGGTACCAGATCAGCACCGCAGGCATAAACATCACAAGACGTAGACTCTGCAACAGAAGACACCATATGCAGCTCTTCTGAATGCTATTGATTTCGCATTTGCGCGCGTTCTGTGGGCAAGATCCTGCAAGGCTGAACCGGTATTGCTGCCCCGAAGGGGACGCCCACTAGTAGCTGTCGTGCTAGAAAGACGTAGTAGTGTGTAAACTAGGAAATGATTGATGGCGAGCTCGGTGAACCAGGGCCTCGCTTAAGTGGGAGACGTCTCCCAAAGCTGACTAATCTGCCCGTTGAAGGAAGGCGCCAGAATGCCTTGTCTCGACAATTCCCACCCTTTCTTATCCAATAATACGTAATAAATGCAGAGCCACTACCTATAGATAATACTTTAATATTCTATAACAATACATTATACGGAATATATAATAATATAGTCCATAAACTCTTTCCCGACTTGCTAGATATAGATACCGAATCTTTGGATGCCTTAGTACCTGTAATAAGGCCATTAAGCCCGAAAGAGAAGTATAACTGCCTTAGCAGAACGGCTTATAGGAATCTGCTAAGTAAAGCTATAGAGGCTTTATAATACCAAGTTACTAATATAACTAATAAGCTATATACTAAACAGGGTCCAGATTTATTAAAAGCTTTCCTTTCTACTATTACTAGCCTATTTATATTACTATTAGAGGATTTCGCCTGCCTCTATACTAGTATTTATTATACTTTAATCTCCTTCTATTTCAATATCCCTCCTACTAGTAATATAGGGCCTGGATCTCTCTTAGTAGACTTAACTAAAGAAGAAAGAACTCTATAACTAGTTAAGAGAATATAGATATAAGAGAAGTTTAAGAAATTTATTACAAATACTAGAGCCGCTCTTATCTAGCTCATTAATAATTATTAGGAACGACTTACTACTAGCCTAAAGGTATAAGAACTTTAAGGTAATCCTTTTAGTAATAATAAGTAACTATAGCGAGTATACTATTACTATTATTACGCTCTGCCGCTTTACTAGTAAATTTAGCGTCACGTGACCGCGATGACGCATACGGCTGGCTAGTATTTAGAATACCAAAGCTCCTGTACTTATAAGCTTCCCTCCTTAGTTTAGAATCCTCGGATTAAGAGCCACTCTACCTGCTTTCTAAGCCCAGAGCCCGGTTTCGTAATAACTATAAGCTCTAGAGACTAAAAGTAGAAACAGAACTATACTAGTTATAATAGATACTATTACTAATTAAAAATCTCTATAATTTCCAGAAATATCTAGAAAAGAATAACTACTATTCTTTAGATATCTCTAATTATTAACTCTATTATACTTACTTAATATATATCTATATTACTAGCTTTAGCTTATCTATCTTAAATATATATAATATTAAGATAGCTTTTAAGAAAGATCTTTAATATATTATTTACTAAATAATCTTTATTAATACTCTAGGTCTCGGTATTATTCTTATTAGTAGTAAATTACTTTTCTTATTAACTTTATTTAAATATAAGATATCAGGAAATAATAATAATAATCTCAACTAGCTTACTATTTAGATTAAGTAATATCTTATAACTAATTTCCGGGCTCTCTATAATATCTTTAATATAGTAATAGCTAATCTCTTATAGTATTACTGTAGTAGGGTTTTTTCTCTCTTGTCCGGCCGCACATTTCGTCCTAACCCAATTTTAGTGAATTATTTCTAGAGAATTATTATACTATAATACTAGAATTATATAATGTTCTGTAAAAGACCCCTTTTTATATATCTTAAGAAGTCACGTTACTTAAGTATTATTACGATAAGGTGATATTGCAGTAGTGGTAAAGAGCTTAAATTGAGCTAAAGGCTGCCTGCCAGGCTAAAAGCACTGGCTATATACTAAGTCACATATAGTGGTACTATATAACTGGTGCCATATAACAAGTATATAGCCTCGATTATATAACCAGCTAGCTAATTAGAAAAAATACTAAAAATACTAAAAATCTAATAGCCTAATAAACCCTACTATAATACTTACTTAAATAGAATACTTACTTATATTAACTATAAGTAACTGTGCCGTAGAAGGGCCACCGACTATTAGTTAATTCCCCGCGGTATCTCGACGCGCAAAACTAGCTTTGTTGAGAGGCTGATTTTGTACGTGACGGCGCTAAGCGATAATGTGATTCGAAAGAGTAAAAAGGAGGTAAGGTTTATTATCAGGTGCGTTCGGGCTTTATGACTTAGCTCCGAACGCAGCTTACGTGATTTCACGTGCGGTTTTACGTACAAATTCGGGTCCCAGACGACAACACAGACTGTAACAATAACAACTAATTAAACTGCCTTCAATTTGCCCGTTTCAACAAGCTTCACGAGAACAGGTTCAAAATATCTGCCAGCCATAGCTTGTCTATCCATGAAGCCATGTACATAACTACCAAAATGTTAACCATACTGCGATAGGGAATGCAAGAAGGCAGGGACCGTTGAAGGCCCTTAACAAATCCAAGATCCAGGGCGTGTAGGCCAGCCCAGCTGGACCAGAAGCCAATTTATCTTCTGCAGGTGAGAATGCCAGCTTGACTACCTCTTTCCATCGTTTTCAAACACCAAGATTGACCCAGCCATTTGTGTACAGCTCAGTCGCATTACCGCGGATGCCCAACAATTCTCGGCGCCCTAGAGGGGCACCGCAAGCCTGCAGGCAGACGTTCCTCCCACAGCATGTGCCCGTGGCGCAGACCCAGCCCTGTTGGCAGTCCTTGGTCGAAGTACAGTCGGGTAGAGGAGTGCAGGACTCGCTGGGCCCGCAGAAGCCCGTGCCGTCTGCAGTCTCGAAGCAGAAGCAGCTCCCGCCGCAGCTGTTGAGGCTGTTGCAGGTCGATCCTGCGCAGACCGGAGCAGAGCATTGGGCATTGATGCACACTCCGGAAGGACACTTTGCAAAGAAAGAAGGGTGTGTTAGTATTGCGCTTGAAGGGGGCTTGATAAAGACTTTGGGAGAGAAGAAGGGAGAGAGGCGCTTACCACATTGCCACATCTCTCACAGTTGTTGGGATCGCTGAGTGCGTCCTGGCACGGCCCACCTGCAACGCAGCTGATCTTTCCAGGAGGGCACTTATTAGACGGACAGGCCTGGCATAACTCGAACAAGAGAATGGCTACCCCGACGTTGCACGCGTATTCTCCGTACTTCTTGCCGAGGATGAGGCCCGCTATCGTCGCTGGAATGCCCACTTCAGGTCCCAGCGCGTTTCCAAGAAAGCCGATGCCACCCCCAACGGCTTCGCCGATCGCGGCCCCGATTAGGTGGCAGCTGACGCTGGTTGCGAGGGCGGCGATGCCCACTCCGCGCCAGTCGTTGCAGAAGAACTGCGCGGCATTGCAAACTAAGCTCGAGGCATCCCGCGCCAACAGCTCGCCGAGATCTCTCCTTGCACTACTGCCCGGCGCGGAGGGGAGCGGCCACTTGCCCACGACCTCGAGTGCGCATTTGGCCAAGAAGGCAACAAAAGTGCCGTTGTCGTACATGATCAGCGTGTCGCCGCTCGAGTCTGAGATGACGGCAGCGTGTAGGTCGGACAAGTCCACGGACAATTCGTCACTGCCCTTGGAGAGGATGAATTGCGAGCCCGGGAATTGGCGGTAGGACAGACCCCCATTTGCATCCGAAAAGCTGCTGTTGCTCTCTCCGATCGGGCTTCCCGTGGGCGCCACGGCCGGATGGCACGAGTTGGGAGACACAATGGCGTATGGATTGGCGGTGTTGATGGGTGTGTGGGAGGCGCTGATCGTCGTCGTCGAATGCGTGACGCTGATGCACGAGCAGCCGCTGGAGTATCGTGCGCTGCCCTGGCAGCCGGACGCGTAGGCAGGGATGGCGGTAGGGGTGATAGTGATAACTGTCGGCTTGTCTGTAACGGTGGTGGTACTAATGATGTCAAAGTCAGCAAAGGCATTGAGGGGAGCACCGATCTGAAAGATGGGAACTGCCGGCGGGGTTATTTACGACACTGTTGCCAGGAAGTACGAGGAGCAATCAGCGGTACCAAGCCGAGTAGGGAAGGCTGAAGCTCGGATGGCTAGAGGCAAACTTGTTAGTCTTTCATTGAAAGTTAGAGCAAGATAGATGCGTACCGCGGAGGCAATTGTCGGCATTGCAGGAGGCTAACGCCGTAGTGGCAGTATAGAGCATCCAGGCGCTATGCAGCACCAGAGAACGAGTGAAACGCATGCTGGGCAGCGTTCAACTACTCATGTACTACGGTTAGGAGGGCTCCACGACTGTGGGAGGTAGGGAGCAAAGTTGAATGTTTTAGGTGTGAAAAATGATCACGGAGCAAAAGATAAGTTGGAATGCGATGCACATATAAGTTTACAGGAGCGGCGGTAGTCCTTATAAGATTGTGCGAGAGTCGGAGTTAAGCACCACGAGGTGGTCTCTACGGGAAGTCTACCCAAAGCTGGCAAAGGGACGGCCCGGGAGCAATGCAGAGCCTCAAGGTTGTTAAGAAGGTCCCATGAGGAAAGATCTTGACACCAGATCCGGCCTAACTTAGTGCTCTGTGGCTTTAGTGGCTTTATGATGCCAAGCCTTGTGGAGGGAGCACGGTACCGTTGTGCTCATCTCTATTCGTTTGGCTGCGGAGTGGAGCCCTCCCGTAGCTCTGCACCTCAGCTCACCAATATTTCCCCGCTGTATTACCTGCATATTGACCGGCCTCACCCGCTCAGCCTCGATGTTACTCGTGCCGCGCAGAAGTCTGTAAATAGATTCCTTGTAGTTGGCCTCCTTGCGCTCCGTGCCCCACTCGTCCATGTACACACTTCTGGGTAAGGGGCTGGGTTCTCGCAAGGCTGCGGACGGCAAACCCCGCTCATTCTGGCCAATCCCCTACGTTCACCCGCAAGGCAAAGGGTTCGATAGTTGCAGAAATCACGGCCCAGAGCCCAATAGATCGTGGCAGCTGAGTGAACGGCACAGAACCCTAAGGGCGGATAGGTACAGTACAGCAAAAGGAATCATCGCGGTGACCTACTACCGACTCTTGTTTGGTTACACTCCAGTGTGATATCAAAGAAGACGGCGCGTCTTCCCACCCACCCCCCCAAGCATTGCAAAGGACAGTACTCGTGCTGCCCAGAAGTCTGTAAATAGTCCCGCTCTCGCACCCCCGGCTGACCAATCATTGACCAAAACTGTGTAGATCGTCTGAGATCCGGTTTAAGTGATTGGCCAGCTAGGGGTGCGGGAGCGGGACTATTTACAGACTTCTGGGAGGCACGAGTACGTAATGTTTTGGTGCCTGTGTCCGAGAAGATTTCTATAACAGAGTCGCGGTGCTGTCAAAGGCTTGTCCCTTCAGGCACTAGCAGCTCCAGTTCGTCACCGACCTAGCCGTTGTGCAATACAGAGAAGTTTTACTTGGACTCCCAGAGAAGCCAGCCCCAGCTTCGTGATGGCATATTGGATTCACTCCGCCAAGGTCAGGCATGGTTCTAGAATCCGCTTGATCCCGAAGGCGGGTGGGCTTTCCCACAGAGTGAGCCAGCCTCGACCTCCCGAGGGAATTCAATATTTGTTGCATGCTCAACGCCACGGCGCAACGCTCGGCCCTATCCTCACTCTCGTCGCTGCTACTGTATGTTCAAGCAAAAGCAATATCGTGGGTTTGTTCCACATGGCGTACTGCAGGTTCAAGTTGAGCAGCGGAGTGTTCCGTTTTGCCAATCATGTGCCCGGCACCTACCACGGCTTTCTCCCCCAGAACCGTCTTCGAACTTGATAAGGACGACCTACTCGTGTCGCCCAGAAGTCTGTAAATAGACGAGTGGGGCACGGAGCGCAAGGAGGCCAACTACTGTATAAGGAATCTATTTACAGACTTCTGGGCGGGACGAGTAAGTCGCCATGAGGCTGAGTATCCGCGTTAGAGACCAATTAATGTTTCCTAGAATGAACGACTGTAACCTGATCGTCTAACCACCTGTCGCACGCACACGACAGAGCTCCGGCTTAGACAGCCTGGCCCCCTTGCGGTGCTGTTGACCGCCATACCTGAGATTGACGACGGGCAGCCCCGGGTGGTCGATGAGAGCCACCACCATGCCTCGCGAACTTTCTCGGAGCCCGTCTGCGGTATTAGTCGCTGAGTATCAGGAGTGGCCTTTCCAAGGCTTCTCAAACGAATCAGGATCGGGTTACTACAAGCCACCTGCGCTTTACCGTTGAATTCTAGACAAATTGTAAGTATGTTCTCCAGAACTGTTCTCTACTCGTGTAGTATTTCCATTTCTACTCAAATCCCTCTTTTTGCTCTCTACTTTTAACAAATCCAGTTGAGGCTTCTTTATAAAGCGTTGTCGGATTTGAGTTTCGATATTACGTAGAAGTAGAATATTTAGAATAGGATATATATATATATCTAAGATAGAGTTAACTCGGTTTATCTATTAGAGGCCTATACTATTAACCCTTATAGCAAATCTATTAGTATCTCCTTACAATATTATAAGGTAATATAAAGCCTATACTTCTATTACTAGTTAAAAGCACTTCTCTTTAGTTTCTATATAGTCGCTTGCTTTATCTTATTTAACTTTACGTCTACTAGTACAGTACATAGCTTCAGCTAGTATAGCACTTGCCCTAGCTCTTTAGGAGACCGGCGAGGTTACTTATAATCCCGAGAGTCTAAGAGTACTCTTTCTCGAGGACTTGCTCGCTAAGCCGCAGTGTTACGCTCTGCCGCTTCACTGGTAAATTTAGCGTCACGTGATCGCGATAACGCATGCGGCTGGGGCTAGTATTTAGAACACCAAGCTCCCGCACTTACGAGCTTCCCTCCTTAGTTTAGAATCCTCGGAATAGAGCCACTCTACCTTGCTTTCCAAGCCCAGAGACCCGGTCTCGTGACAGCCTGCGGCGTTGGGGGATAAGGCAGAACTCGGCTCCCTGGCGTGCTGGCGTATCCGTTTCGCCAGTGCTTGAGGAACGCCGGCGTCAAAAAGGGAGCAGAAATCGGCTTCCTAACACTGGCGTATCTATTACACTGGGGCTTGAGGAACGCCAGCTTTGAAAAGGAAGCAGAAATTGGCTCTCTCGCACTGGCGTATCTATTATGCTAGTACTTGAGGAACGCCGGCGAATAGAGCAAAATTCGGTGCCCTAATATTAGTATATATACTCTCTGGATACTGGAAAGCACTAGCGAAACGGAAGTATTAGCCTTAGGCCGAAATATTTTTAATAGTAATAATCTGAGTAAAAAGGTCAGAATATTATTAGTTCTATTCTATTAAAGATATTTTTAGCTTTTAATAATCTGACTAAAAAGGTCGGATTATTATTAGTTCTATTTTATTAAGGATATTTTTAGCTATTAATAATCTAACTAAAAAAATTAGAAATATAAAACGGAAATAATATTAACTAAGTATACTAAATATAATATACTTATAATATAGATTATATAAATAGTAAAGTATTATATAACGTCTACTAAAGAATAGATTATATATTTAATTATAAAAGAAAAATCCTTAGAGAAATTTCCTAAGTAATTTCTTCTAAACTTCTAATATTTCTATAAGAATTCTCCTATAATATCCATAGCCTTAAAAGTATTCTCCTAAGATTCCTGAAGTTATAGAAGAATTCTTTTAGAAGAATTATCTTAAGAAAGCTTTCTTATAATATTTATAGTTCTAAGATTATTCTTTTAAGATCTATAGGGTCTTATAAGCTATAATGTCCTAAGATACTTATTTTAGAAGTAATATTCTTATAGGAGCTATAGAAACTATATTAAATACTTTTATAGAAGTTTCCCGGATATTATAGTCTTATAAATAATATTTTCTCCTTCTGAAATACTTATAGAAGCTTATATCTTTCTTAAAAGATCTCCTAATAGCCTATTATTTCTTGAAAAATTATTTTAGGTAGTCTATAATTTATAAAGAGATCTCCTTAATATACTTTTCTAGTAGAGATTTTCGCTTAGAAAAGTATACTAAGAAGAATTTAATACCTCGAAATGCTTTTAAAAAAAACCAGTATTATTTAGAGAGTTTATAAAGGAGAATATAATATCTATAAGACTAGTACTACTTCGAGAGCTTATAGAGGAAAGTATAGTATTTAGAAATATTATTTGAGGCAAGAAAAAAGGCAGAATTAAGGTTATATATTATATTATTATACTAATTTAATTAGGCCTGTTTTACTAATAAAGACTAATAATATATCGAGTATTTTTTTTATAAGTAATATATAGATCCTTCCTCTTTATTCTCTTATTAATTTTTTACTTCTTACTCTAGAAAAGTCCGTTATCTAAGCTCTAATAATAGATAGTATCTTTGAAAAGTTTAGTATTATTTATTAATTTATCTTCTATAATAAATATATTAATACTTACTAATTTATTAAATATATATTTCTTATTACTATACTTTCTATTATTTCTAAAAGAGGTTAGTATCTCTCTAGCTAGTAAAGTCTCTTTTCTTATTATAGTAGCTTCTATTATAATCTCTCCTTATATTATATACTTTATTTCGACTTTTGCTCCGGTTATAAGTCCAGAAATAGGAAGCTTATTTAGGCTCCTATAAGGCCTTAGAATATAATACATATAATTTCCAAGGTTATTTAATAGATTAATCTCTTAAGTTTATCTCTAATTAAATAGAAAGAAGAATAGTTCAAATACTATATAAGTATTAATTACCGTTTTAATACTAGCTACTTTAATAGTTAATTAGTAATATTAATTAGTTAGAACTATATAATAAATAAGTCTTATTCTAATACAGTTATTAAAATATAGAGGCAATTCGAGTTACCGGGCTATTAATTAAGGAAAAAGGTTATATAGGCTAGTTCTATTAATCTTTATTTATAGTAGCTCTATTATTTCTCTAGCTAATATAATTATAGCCTTAGTATATAACTTATTTATACTATTACTAATAGATAACTTCTTCTTAGAATAGTCTCGAAGCCTTTATTAAAGCAGGCTATTTTCTCTAATTATTATATTAGAATTTTAAATAGCCTTATTTCTATTCTCTATAGAAGGCGCTTTACTAACGGGGGGAAATATAATTATATAACTGAAATAAATCTATTACTAGTATATTATAAAAGTCTTATAATAATTAAAGCTTAGATTATAAAAAATATAGTAAATTTATTAAAAAAGGCTACTATAAAACTAGGGAAATCGGGACTTAGTATAAGAAGGGCTACTAAATAGTTAGTAGAGTTAAGCCTCTATTTCAGGCTAAATAGTCTATTAAAGCAGTACTTTTACTATATAACATTTATTAGTAATAATAAATCTAGAATTTTTCTTTTTAGAATTATATAAAAGAACCTTATAGACCTTATCTTTTATAAATTAGTAATATAAATACTTTTTAGCTAGCTATTTCTATAATTAAATTAATATATAAGACTATAGATAATAAACTAATATAATTAAAAGAATAGAACTAGAGTTATTCTTATAAATAATAAGTTTTCAAATCTAGTTAATAGTAATTATTCTCTAGAAATATAAAGCTAAATATTAATTAAGAGCTAGTAGAAGTTTTATAATTCCAGGAATTATAAAACCCCTGTCTAGTCTTATAAAAAGAATAAGAACTAATTAGAATTATATATAATAAAGATAAAATAGTATTATAAAGAGGCTTATAGAGCTTAGCCTATTTTTAGATCTAAAGAAATTCGAATCTGGCTTTTTATTACTTGAATTTAAGAGATTAATAATATTATATACTTTACTAAAGACAGATACTATATATATCTAAACCTCAGGTAAATCCCGAGCTATAGTAGAATTAAAGGAAATAAAGAAGCTAACTAGCTTACTAAAAACTTAATAGGGCAGATTTCTAATTACTATTTCTCTAGACTAGCTTTACTCTAGTAAAAGATAATAAAAGCAGACATATTATAGGACTGGAATATAGAGTAAAATAAATTAATTAAAGGCTAATACCTATAGAGAATTAATATAGTAATTCCGGAACTATATATATAAAAGCTATATAATTACTTCCTATAATAATAAGTAGGCATTTTTACTTAACTTAGAATTAATTATAACTAGCTAAAAAGTTTTAGTAAATATATAAAGTACTCGAATAATAATAAATATAAATACGGAATAATAGAAATACTAGTCTATATTTTTATTAATTACTCAAATCTATAAGAACCCAGATAGTAACTATATAAAATAATCGGAAACCGCTTTAATAACCTTATAATAATACTAGACAGTAGAATATAAAGGGAAAACAAGATTATAGCTAAAGAATTTAATACTGTTTTAGACTTTATAAAGTAATCTGGAAGATTTAGGAATAGAGATAGAGAACTAGATAATACTAATTTCGGGTAAAAGAAAACTCACCTTTATATAATCTCAAAATAATAAACTATATATTAGATTTAGTAATAACTAGTATATAGTCTATATATCTCAAGAAAGAATAAATTAGAATAAATAATATTTATATCTATATCTATATCTATATTACTTGAATTTAAGAAAGCTAATTTAGGCCCTTTATTACTTAATTAAGCCTTTCCTTTAGCTAAGGTTTTAGAGAATTAAGGATTTAAATATGGCTCTCTACTACTTTAATTTAGAGGAAATCGATTTAAGCCTCTTATTATATAACTATAGACTCAAAATCGGTTCCTATATTTCTATTAGCTATTATATAAAAGTCTTTAAAAATAGCTATTTGAATAAAGGATCTAAATAATAGATAACTCTCAAATATCTTAGGTTTAATACTTGAAGTATATTAAAACTACTCTAAATAAATTACCTTTTAATATTAATAAATACTTTAAAGATTAAATAAAATAATAAGAAGAAAAGAAAAAAGAGAAAGAATAAGGAAATAAATAGAAGAATAGAGACTTTAATTATAAAAGCTTACGAATTAGAGAAATTTAATAGTATTAATATAGCTTTAATTATTTATAAATATAGTTAATATATTATATATAAATCCAAGGTCTATTTATTATAGCTACTATTTATAGTAGAGATAGTAAGTAAAGTAATAATTTACTTAAATATATAAGTACTAATACTTTATATTTAGTAAATTATCTATTCTCTTCTAAAGAATATAATACCAGAAAATATTGAGAAGTGCCTTTTTAAAAAAGTAGAGAAAAATTTAGCTTAGAAAAATAAGGAAGTAAAGAAAGATTTTTAAGAAGTCGGGTATTAGTAATTAATACTTAACTTACTGGCTTCTAGAACTAGTAAGAATTCCGAAATAGTAAGATATTATAGGATTACTATTTCCAGAAAGCCTTATAGTTCCGGAAGCAAGTTTTCTAGAACTATTATAGGTTATAGAAATATATAAAGTCCTGAGAGTAAGTTATAAAGAGATTAAAATTATAGTAAATTCTAATATAAAGCTATTATAAGAAATAAAAGCTAATCTCTTTTCTTATAATATATTTTATTATATAGCCTTAAATTAATTTGGGTTATAATATAGATCTTTTATCTAGATAGACTAGTAATAGCCTAAATCTTTATTATAAGTTCGAGCTTATTAAAAGAATTCTTTACTTAGTAATATAATGGGGATTTGATTATTATATGAATATCGGACCATATATAGGCGTTGGATGCGTGGGTAGAGGTAAAGAGGGTAGGAAGCTAAATAAGTAGAAGTAATAATATTAGAACTCTCAGTACCAGTAATGAAATAATACGAATGGTCAAAAATAAGGGGCTCCGAAGGTTGATGTATTGGGAAGGCTAATCGTACGTATAGACGGAGGTCTTATATAACCCCTTAAACTAGCGCCAGCATGCCTGGGAAGCAGGACACGTGACGGTAGTTACGGGACGACAGGAGTGGCTGGATGACGGGTGTGGCTGGACAACGGGTGTGGCTGGACGATAGGTGTGGCTGGACGAAATGTTTGGCTGGACAAAATTTGTGGCTAGATAACGAGTGTGGCTAGACGAAATATATAGCTAGACGAAATGTAATAAAATACTATTAAAGTACAGGTAGTATCATAAAACTATTAGTATAAAGGAACTATTAGTACTATTAAATTAATAGTATAAATAATTTACTAGTATAAAGAAACTATTAATACTATAGGGCTATTAGTACTATTAAAATATTAGTATAAGAATTTTATTACTACCAAAAAACTACTAGTACTATAAAATAGTTAGTATAAATAATTTATTAGTACTATAAATCTAGTAGCTAGAAAGTAATTAGTATAAATAAATAGTTAATATAATAACTAGTTACTTTATATTTTAGAAAGCTCTTATTATCTGAATATATAGACTACCGAAAGGCTTTTACTATCTAGATAATTATATATTATCTAAAGTATACTCGCTCTTATATAAGAGATATAGAATAGAAATACCGAGATAATTACTCTTAAAAATAAGAGGGAAATAGCTTCTTTATTTATTTATAATTACTCTAATAAGCTATTATAATTCTAATAATATATTAGAAGTATATTTCTTTTATAAATTATATTAATCTTCCTTAATCTTTCTTAGAAAGCTTAAGTTACTTTATATAATTATATATAATAAAAGCTAAAGAAATTAAAGCAAGGCTATTTGAAAAAAGAAATAAACTATAATTATAAAAGTATATAAGTATAGAAAGTTTCCCGATATATATATTATATTATATATTTATTATAATAAATAATATACTACTTATTATTCAAAAAAATTTAGCTACTATTAATAAAAGAAATAGTAAGTAGAACTCTAAATAAGACTAAAAGAATTAAAGTTAATTCTACTAAAGTAATAAATATATTTGCTTCTAACTAATCTGCTTTTATATAATATTAATACCGAGCTTTAAATATAATATTGACTTTATTATAAGTAAAGAATAGGCAATCTGAATATAAAGATATAGTATAACTAGATATAAAGTATAAAGGTTAAAGAAAATTAATAGAAAGAATTATAATTTTATTTTATAAATAATTTATAATATTATACTATAACTAGTATATAGTATACTTCGTTTTTATATAGTAATATCCCGAACTATCGGTTTAAAAGATTAGAGTATAGCCTCTAAATAATATAGGGAAGCCTAGTTGGACTCTAATAGAGGCAATTCTCTATATATTACTCTAATATATATAATTCTGGAAATATTACTAGAAGTTATTTAATAGATCTTATATCTGAGCTAGTCTTACTAGACAGGGCTTTACTTATAGATTCTATCTAAGAATAATATATAGAAATTAGAATTTTTATTAGTAGAGATTTAATCCGAATTAAATATTAATTATTATATATTTATATAATTATAATTTCTAGTCAAATTATATACTATAAATATAACTTTAGCTAGATTCAAATCTTAATAACTTCTAATACTATATATCTAAAGGAAATTATAAGATAAAAAAGATTAAGAATAGAAAACTTTTAGGTACTAAAGAATAACCTAATAAACTCTTACTATATAATTTTTAAACCGCTTAATATTATTAAGAACTAGTTTCTAAGCCTTATAAATAGAATAATAGTAAATAATTCTTATATTTATAGATATATAATATAAGTAAATATCCTTAATATAGTTCTATATATATGAAATCCGGTTAAAAGTATATATTTATTACTTATATAAAAGCCGCTTATTTCCGATATAAATAATATATTAGGTCTTTTTATAAATAATAGGGAATTTGTCTACTAGTTAAAAGGGCTTAGAAGTAAGAGATTTCTTCTTAATTAGATTTTGAGAGGCTAGAACCGAATATAGTTTATAAATACAAATTAGAAGCTTTTATTAGAAAGCGAGTATAATAAGAAGATTAATAGTAGAGATCTTCCGAGAAATAATACCCTAAGAATTCAAGTCTCGAGAAAAATTATAAAGAATCTATTATAATTATATTTATTCTATAAGTTTATATTTAATAATAGATTTATTAATATTTTTTTTCTTTTCTATAGCTATCGAATTCTATTACCTGTTTAGCTACCTCTTTATTATTTTATTATAGATTTAGAAGAGGTAATCTTTTCTATATACTTTTTTAATTTTATTTTTTAGGCTCTTTTTTATATTTTTAAGCTATTTATAGAGATTCTTATATTTCTTTATAACCTTTTTTAGGGCCTGCTTAATAAACTTATATTCTTATTTAATCTTAGTAAGTAGTTTTTATATCTACTACTTAAGATTAATAATATCTAGATCTACTATAAAAAGCGGCTTTATAACCTTATTAGAAACCTCTTTAGAAATACTAGAGTTATACCAAATACTTATATATATAAAGGCTCGAATTAGCCTATTATTAGAGATATTTTTCTCGAGATAGATATCTTATATATTAAATCTAATAAACTCGTCTTAATAGGCTATACTAAAAATTCCGGTATTAGAGCTATATTTTAGAACCTAATTATATATGAAATTAGAAATAGTATTTAGAAATAGCTATTAACTTAGAATAATAAAATAGAATTAGATAAGATATATACTATTAACTATATTTACTATATTTTAGTAGAAGTAATAGCTAATTAGCCTATTTTCTAAGCTAGAGTTTCTTTTAAAATAGCTAATATAGAAGATATATATTAAATAGAATATTACTTGAAATAGTAATTTCATCTAGCTATCTCCGGTTTAGATTAGCCTATAGAAAACTAGCTACTTAAGCTATTTGGGCTTCTAGTATACTTTTATTACCTTTACTTTTATATTTTCTAGATTAGTAATAAAGAAAAGCTTAGCAGATATATAGCTATTAATAAGAACTATATTATTACGGATTATATAAGCTAAGATATAAGAGATTAGATAAAGAATAGAAAGAGAGTTCTTTTAAAATAGAAATATTATACTAGAAAGAGGAAATTAGCTAGGGCTTAGAATCTAGAAGAAAGTAATATATAATTTAAGCTTATTATTAACTTTTTTATAGTATTATAAAAAGACCCCTATTATAAGAATATCTTTTTTCGGATTTTATATTATCTAAAAGCAGATATTCTTATAGTAAAGTATTTTATATTATTATATTACTTCTCTAAACTTATCTAGCTTAGTAGTATTATAGGCCTGCCCTAATAGCTCTCCGAGTTTATTAATCTCAGTAAGAAAGTAATTATTTATATTATTAGTTATAGTAATATCTTTCTCTTTAGTACTATAATTACTATTATAACTAGTATTCTTATTAATATCTTTTTCGAGAATAGTAGTAATAGTATTATTATTATTATTATTATTATTATTATTATTATTATTATTATTATTATTATTATTATTATTATTATTATTATTATTATTATTATTATTATTATTATTATTATATTATTATTATTATTATTATTATTATTATTATTATTATTATTATTATTATTATTATTATTATTATTATTATTATTATTATTATTATTATTATTATAATTTTCTTCTATTACTTTTTAAGAGTATTTCTCTTTATTAGTATTTTCTATTTTACTAAATAAATTCTAGCTAGCTTTCTCCTTTAATATATAAATAAACTCTATTGGGCGGCTGCTTATATAGGCTTGGAATAATATTATTATAGTAATATTAAGCTAGTTATTCTCGATAGAAAAGACGGATTCGTTATAAGCCTAGTAGTAGATTAGTAGAAGAAGTAGGTTATCTAGTCCGGCTATTAGTTTAGGATTAGATATTATATTAAGACTAAACTTAATCTTTAATATAATATTAATATATTTGGAATTATAAGATTAGTATATATAACGAGAATATAGAAAGAGAATAAAGTATTTTAATAGCCTCGAATAAATTATTTGTATCTATTATATAGCTATTAATTTAATAATAGAGTATTTTAAACTTTTACTAATACTAGTTAATTATTTTCCGCTTTTTTCTCTTTTACCTTTTAGCTAGATAAGTTTTATAGATCTAGTAAAGAAATAATATTATTCTCTTCTTATTATAATTCTATTTAAGAATAGCTATATATTATAGACCCGTATATTAGTTATAATATCTGCTTTTTATTAACTAAATTCAATTATATAATAAAGGCTTAAATATCTTAATAAGTATATCTAGTAAATTTCTATCTAATATAGTAAATACTAGCCTTAATATCTTTAGTATTTACTAGCTATAAGAACTATTTATTATTTAGATCTGCTTCTATATATTAATAATCTTTCCTATTAAATATTTTCTTTTCTTACTTCTTTAGTATTCGGTTAGTATTAGTATGTTTTTTAAAGATATTCTAAAGGGCTTTAAGAGTATACTTTACTAGAACTTGAATTATAGGAGCTATAATCTTATATAGGATATTATAAGAGCAAATATAAGTAGCGGATTATTATTAAGAGAATTAAACCCAAAAGCTATTAATAGTATAAGAATATCTACTACTAAAAGCAAGACTATAAGAGAGAAAAAAGCTTTTAAAAATAGATATAATAGTTATAGAATAGTAATAGTAAAAACGATATAATAGTATTATTAAATAAGAATTATATTTAATACTATAGATAATTAATTCTGACTTCTACTATTCTATATTACTAGTACTACTTTAATTCTTTAGCTATTTTAATTATAGGATAATAGTTTATAGCTAAGACTATAAGACTTATTAAGTTTGAATTCTCTATAAGAAAAAAAGTAATAAGGAAATAGTATAGAAAAGAAGTATTTAATAAAAGTATAATAGTTACTAAAAGTCGAGAATAGGCAAAAACTACGAGAACTTATATAGCCGGGAGCGGCTTTATAGTAGAGACAGATAAGGTCTGCTATAGCTAATAAGAAGCCGTTTCTGGCTTCTGAATTAAGGAATTAGGATAGTTAGGATAATTAAAGATAGTAACTAGTAATTTTAGGAGAGATATAGTAATTATTATACTAAGTAAACCGAGATATATATATTACGGGCAGAGCTTAGTAAGCAGTTAAGGCTATATAAAATAGTAATAAAACCTATTAAATTCAGAAGCCTAAACTATAATACTTAGATATATTATATAATATTTAATTATTAAATTATTATAATAAAGCTTTATAATTTCTCGATATTAAGCAGAATTATTAAATATAATAATTCTTAAATAATATTTAAATAGGCCCGAATTATTTCTTTAGATTTTTCTTTTTTTAATATTTCTTTTATTAAGTTTTTATTTTAAAATATTCTAATATTAAAAATTTTTCTAAGCTATTTAAATAATATCTAAAAAGGATTTAATAAAAGAAGCTAATATTATAGCTCTTTTAGTAATTATATATATTTATATATAATAAATTAGATATTTATAAATATTTAATTTAAAACTTAAAAAACTAAAAAGTTTTTAATTTTATTAAATAATATAATTATAGATATTTTTATTATTTTAGCTATAATAATAAAGCTTTTAAGATATTTCTTTATATTTTATTTAATAACTAATTCTATAATTAAAGAATTTATTTATTTATTTGTTTTATAATAAATATTTATTTTTAATTATTATAAATATAATTAATATTAAATAATATTTAGTTTAAAGAAAAAACTCATTAAATATTTATAAGAATTTCTAAATTATAATTATAAAAGCTTTTTTTAATTTATTTTAAAAGATTATAAATTAAATTATATTAATAGAATCTTTTTTATAATTAAATCTTTTACTAAATCTATTTATTAGATTTGAATTATTTTTATAATAAATATTATTAAAATTATATATTATAAAATATATTATCTAATATATTTAATAGCTTTTTAAATATTTTATTTTTATAAAATATTAGAAATTATTATAATTTATAATAATCTTAATTATAAATCTAAATTCTTTAAAATAATAATACTAATATTTAAAAGCTTTAATAATTATAAATAGCTTTCTATTATAAATATTATAGTTATATTTGGCTTTAAAAAATTTCTAAAACTAGAATATTATTAAATATTAGTATTTTTTTAAACTATTACTAGAATTAATTTATTATAAAATAGTATTAGTAATTATAAATTTTAATATATTAGTTTTAATATAAATCGTTTTAGAAAAATTAAAATAAATTAGAATAAAAATTAGAATAAAAATTTTTAAATTTTTTTTAAAACCTTTTTTAAAGCTTTTAGCTATTTTATTTATTTATATAAAAAAACCGGATTTCTAGTTCTTTTTTATATCTTTTAAGAAATTTATTAAACTTATAATTATCTAAAAGTAATAATAAATAAATCTATAATAGTAATTAATAAATTTAAGAAATATATAAATATTATAAAATAATTCTAGTTTTAGCTATTTAATAATATTATAAATTTATTTAAAATTTATTCGAATACTTTCTATTTTAATAAAAAAGCCCAAGAATTCGATTTCTTTAATATTAAACTTATATTTACTAAATTTATAAAATAGATTATTTTTATATAATCTAGTAAATATCTAATAAATATAATTATAGTATTTATTTTTATTTTCAAAATGAATAAAAATATTATTTAAATAAATAATTATAAAATAATTTAAAGGCTTTATAAATATTAGTTTACTAGTAATATATAATATTATTATATAATTATAAAATACTATTTATATTAAGTTAATAATGTTATTATTATTTAGAAATAAAAATAAAAATATTATAATATTAGTATATAATTCTTTAATTTATTAAATCTAATAAAGTCTAGTTTATTAATTAAATTATTTATAGGATATAAAATTATATAATTATATCTTATATTTTATTATTTATATTTTATTATTTATATTTTATATTTCGAGTTTTATAATTATATATATAACTTTTAAAGAAATAGTTATATTAATAATAAATATAATATTAATATATATTTAAAATATAATTAGTATATTAGCTAGCTTAAAAAATATTATAAAGTATTTAAAATAATTATAATAAATTCTAAAAGCCGTTTTTTATTTATATTTTTTATAAATTCTTATTTAATAATATATATTTTTAAGATTTAATTTTATAAGGAATTTAGCTTTTTAAAGCTAATTAAAAGTTTTATTAATAAAAAAAACCAATATTAATTCTTAATTATAATTAAATTAAGCTTATAATAATTAATACAAAAATATTATTCTTTATTCCTTTTAGAAATAAAAGAAATAAATACTTTTATAAGGCTTTTACTAGACTTTATTTAATATTTATAAAATATAAATATAATATTTCTAATTAAATCTCTAATAAATTATATAAAAATTTATATAAAACTATATTATTTATATTAATAAAGTATTTAATATTATTAAAATTAAAAAGTTCTAAATATTTATTAAAATTAAAAACTTCTAAAAAAATTATATTTATTATTTTAGAGATATATAAATACTTTTAAGGCTTTTTTCCGAAAAATATTAATTTACTATATTAAAAACTTCTATTTAGTATTACTAGAATTATATAATAAAATAGAAATCTAGTAATTATTATAAATATATAATATTATATTCTATTATTTTATTAGTAAATTTAATATTATATAATTATAATAATATATATAGCTAGCTAATATTTAGAATACTAAAGCTTTTATATTTATAAGCTTTTTTTTTCAATTTAGAATTCTCGAAATAAAGCTATTTTATTTTATTTTCTAAGTTTAGAAACCCGGTTTTATAATATTATTAATATATATAATTTCGGAACTATTATTTATTAAAAAAATTAAAAGCTTATTAGATTTTCTTTTATTTTAAAATTATAATATTATAAAATAATTTTTATAAACTCAGATTACTAATATAATTATTGAACTCTAAATAGAAATATAAAAACAAGCTAAAGCCATTTAGTAATAAAGTAATAAGCTTATTTTT